GTTTGTGCCCCAGCACCCCATATGGTCCTTCAGCCCACCAGGAATGATCCCGGAGTGTAGTCAGGAGTAAGCCCTGAGCCCCTCCAAGTGTGGTCAAATGGCTTAGCACTCAGCACCCTGACACTCCCCCCCCGCCCCCCCCCCAAAAAAAAAACCCAATGAAATGTTCCTATGAATAAGTAGAGGACAAGATAAAGGAAGAGGAAACCATTTTTTCCTAAAGGATGTGGCAGGGGTCTGGAGACTGTGAATTTCATTTTCCCTTGGGGAAGAACCAGAAAATTCAATCCTCACCACATAGAACTAGATTCCTATGAAGGAGGCATCTTTAGGGAGGAAACTAAAGTATCTTCCTATTGAACCATTTCCCCCCAATTCTTTTAAAGCAACCTGTTCTCTTATTCACATTCTCTTGATTAACAGTCTTTAACATCTATCTCTGGTTCCTTAAAATTCTCATCTTTTTCCAGTCCTGTGCAGAAGTTCTGGCAGGAGGAGTGGGTCGCTCATTGATTTAGCCAATCACCTTCCAGCTCTTTCTGGGCTTCATCCAGACTAGCGAACCAGCACATTGTTGCTCCAAAGACACTCTCCTGTAAGGTCCACCAGGTCTAGGACAGAATTGCGGTGTCCAGTAGTACCTATGCTAGAGACCTCGACATGGTGGGTCCTGTCATGGTTTTTGCATGCACAAACGGGTTATGCATGAACAACTAGCTGCCCTTACTCTTTAGCATTACTTGTTCATCTGTCTTATGAGGAAAGCTCAGTATCTTGGGCTTCCCTAAGGTGTGGGTTGGGTTTTCTAGTTATGAGTGGTGGCTTGACACCCCAACGGCTGCCAACACTGGTCTGTTGGGACAAAAATAGACCCAGCATCCAAAATAGCCCCTGTGACAATCTCTGAGGCTTGCACATGCGCTTTTTGTCACAAAAGAAGCCTCTGCTTCTTCACTACCGGGTCGGTAGAAGATGGCCCTCGAGAGACCTGGGGTGCCTTTGGGCATCTGGAACCCCAAGCTGAACCCGAATTGCCGAGGGCGCTGGTGTCTCAGGAGAGACACCTAGTGGCAGGCGTGGGAATCGCACAATGCTGGCGGGCCTCTGGGCATGTATGGGCAATTCTCTGATCCATTTGATGTTTCATTAATGTCTCCACCGAGTCAGGCATTATTCTGGACGGCAGGAGAGCAGTCGTGAACAGGACAAGTCCCTGCTCTCCAGGCCTTGGTCGGGCAGATATCTGCATCCATTCTACAGCGCCCAAACCTGATGCTTGTCCATTTGCTTGCTCTGTTTAATATTTCCTTTGGACTTTGGTTCTTTTGTTCATAGATACTTATTTACTAAACTCCCACTCTTAGCTGACTCCACAATTGGTCGGGTAGAGGGTATTGAAGCATATGTGTTCTCTCTCTCTCTCTCTCTGGTGGTATTTTCAAAATGCATTAACTTGTGCTTTATCTCCTGAGTTTGAATTTGAAACCTTAGTCACCCATTCTGTGCTTGGCTCTAGATGGTGTAGTGTTTCTCTTAGGCAATCCAGTTCCAATACATTTGTGTTATTTTTAAAAATAGTGATGTTTGTCTCCAAAGCAGGGTTGGGTCAAGATGAGGCCACTGAGGTAGAAGAAAATGATCTGAGTCTTTGGAGGGATACAGGGAGAAACTATTGCTATTTCTGACTGGAATAAAAGATCAAGCTCATGATACAGGAGGGATGAGCTGACCTAAGGTGGGAAGGGATCCGGAACACATTAGTTGATTTTGTTTTGCCACCGTTGTTATTTGTGGCAGTATTCCCCCCCCCCCACATGATTTATTAATCCAGAACTGAAATCTTTGTCTGGAATAGCTTGTCTCCATTCCATTTTCCAGGGGACTTGCATTTTATTGCTCAAGTGTTCCCTTCTTCAAATCCTACTTAACCAAGTGCTGCTGTCATCTATAACAAAAGGTGTGTGGAAGTTTCTTTTGAGATGTTTCTCAAGTCCATGATTGTGCTCATTTTTCACTTGACTCATACATTTGCCAACTTGCTGCTGGACTGTCGAATTAATTCTCTAATTCTCCCCTTGTTCTGCTCCTCCCCGATTATCACTGCCAAATGTTCTTCTCAACTGCTTACAAGCCTTCTGCTTCATGTGACCTATAGGATGACATTAAAGCTTCTTTACCTGGCATTTTGGTCCCCATGGCTCGGCCACAAGCTATTTTTTTTAATTGGGGACATAGCCAGAGGAGTTTGGGGTGGCCATGCTGGGGTGTTAGGTAGTACTGGAATCAAACAAAACTCTTGCCAGTGCCCAGCACATACTCTGCTATTTGAGCCATCTCCTTAGTCTCACAGGCTTTGCTTTGAAACGCTTCCTCTCTGCTCCTTCCCAGTGTGGCCCTTCAGACCTGTTTTTGTTTTTTCTTTTTAACCTGCCCCCCCCCCCCCAAGTGCCATATGAGCCTTGCCATAAGAGCCTTGTCTTTTATTGCTTCTTGCCATCATACAGAATATCTCCACTTTCATAATAGAAACTTTACTCATTCTGTAAAACTGTCTTGAAACTCGTTTTCACTTATTTGTATTTGATTCTGTTTTGTGCTCAGGGGTCACTCTGGGTGGTGTCGGAGATTCTAATCAGGACCATCCATTTTCAGATAAGTGTCTTAATTCCTGACTTTCTCCCCAGCTCTGAGGCTCTGCTTGAACCAAGTCCCTGTCCTAAGGCTGCTGGTCCTTGAGGCCTTGAGGTTCCTTAGCTCCCTCTGCCGTGCTCTTTGGTGCTTGGTCCTAACCTGGCTGAAGCTCTGGCATTTCCGATCTAGGCATGGGAAGATTTAATTTTTTTTAAATCTTCCTAGAAGCATTGAACTGTGACAGCCCATTAGTATCACTCAGGAGCTGTAGACTAAGTTGAAACAAGTCAAGATTTGTGGCATTGGGCTTAGAAACAAGACCACTATACAAGCATGCTCAATGGGGATTTTGTGCAGTAGGAGAATTGGCCACCAAGGGAACTTAGTCCTGTGAAGAGCTGTCTCAACCCAGACCACTCTATGGGGTCCAGAGCCGACTGTGCTTGCTCTGCTTCCTAGAGAACTGAAAACCACCCTTTATAAGGCTTGAGTAAAAATGACTTAATCAGCCAGAAAATATGAGTGTCCACCATGTGCCAGGCACTATTCTGGCTGTTGAGGTCACCGCAGGGAACGAGCATGCCCCTTCAGCCTGGGGTTTCTATCTTGGCCATGGGCAGACAGACTATAAATAATGTCAGGTAAGGATGAGAAATGCCGCTGAGCGAAGACATAGTGCTTAAATGGGAGAGCGGAGTAGTCCTCTGCATAGGCAAATTTCAAAAATATCCCCAGCCTGCCTTCAATCAGCAAACGCTTCCCAGCCCTTCCTCCTCCAAGCCAGCTCCTTCGTGGGGGGACACAGCGCCCCAGGATCCAGGCACTCATATTGTGTTCAGGGAAGCTGGAAAGTAGAGGGGGTTCTGAGCGTGGGGTTCCCTGTTAGGGGGATCAGCGAGTGTGGTGGGCACACCCGTGTGCTGTGATCAGGGCTGCTATGAGCTCTGCTAGGGAGAGTATGTCAGCCCTCAGCCGGTTGGTTGTTTAGTTTGATCTGATCTTTATGATACGGATTACAAGATTGTAATCAGTTTTATTTTTGGTTTGGGGACCTGGCGGTGCTCAGTACTCCGGGATTTGAGGGGTGGGGTGGCATGGTGGACACGACCGTCTCCTAGGGGTGGTCTGAGAAACAGGGCAGTGCCCTGGATGGAACCCTGGACCTCCTGCATGCAGAGGGTGGCGTTTTGAGTTAATTCTAGTTGGAGTTTCATCAGCTTTAAACGACGGGGCACACATGTACCCAAACTTCCTCTTTCAAACTTTTTTTTTTTTTTTGCCATTCTGTTTAAGTAGCAGGCAGCTTGATCCTGGAAAGTGTGGCATTTATCTTTGCGTGTGTACATAGTAAAGAAAAAGGAGGCAGCGTCATGTGTGAGGCAGTGCTTCCTACGGCCCCTCCACGGTGGCTCATTCCAGTCCTGGTCGCTGCGTCTCGTGAGAGGCGTGGCCCAGCCTGGGAGTGCGTGCGCGCCGAATGGTAGCCCACCGTTGCCTCCCTCTCCTGGCGTCTTCTAAGCCAGTCTCTTAAGTTCGGGGTGCCAGGGTCTAGCGTACCTCACCTGGAGGCCTGGCTGCAGGGCTAAAACCTGCTGTCGCGCTCAGTCTGGCCACTGCGCCGTGCTCGGGACGGAAGGCGCGCGTTGGTCCAGACCGGGGGTCGCCGAGCGTGGCCCCGGCTCGGGTTGCGGTGCGCGCCGGGGAGCGCAGCCGCCGCAGAAAAACGCACCCACGGCTCCCCAGGAGCGAGCGGCGAGGGCGGCGCACTGAGCCCTGGGAATTTCATTCGCAGGGTTCGGACAAGTGCGTGCGCCACGCGTTTCAGCGGCGACCTCAGAGCCGGGCATGTCCCCTTCGCGGCCTTCGCTCGGTTCCTAAACATCACCTACGAAGCCGAGACCTGTCCTCCGTCTAAGCCGGAGCTCGCCTCCATCCCCGCGCGCCACTCCGTGTGTAGCCGGGGGCCGCCGCGCCCCGGCCTTCAGCTAGCGCCGAGGGGCCGAGGGAACGCGCAGGGACCGGGGCGGGGCCCGGGAGGGGGCGTGTCGGGGGCGGGCACGGGGCGGAGACTCGCGGGCGTGGAGGTCCGGACGGAAGGGACGAGGGGCGGGGCCTGTTAAGGGGCGGGGCAGGGGCGGGGGCCGGGCGGGGACGGTCCTGAGCTGCAGCCCCCGGGGACCCTCTGGACCGAGAGACTGGGCGGAGCCCGGAGCCGCAGCGGCAGCGGGTCTCCTGGGGGGGAGCCTAGGTACATAGGCGGCGGGGCTTCGCCCAGAGCATCCTTTCCCCGCGGGTCCCCGCCCCGGTCCGCCGCCTCTTTCCCGGCGTGACTTCTTTGTGTTGTGTTTTCTGCGCGCGCTTCTCCGCAGGACCTGCGCGTTCTTCCTCGGGCTACAAGAAAGCAGAGGATGAGATGTCCCGGGCCACGTCTGTTGACGACCAGCTGGAGGCACCAGCCCGCACCATTTACCTCAACCAAACGCATCTCAACAAATTCTGTGACAACCAGATCAGGTAGGAAGAGAACGCGGCGGAGAGACGCCGCCGCAGTTCCTCGGCCGCGCGGTGAGGCTCGTCGCCCTCCGGCGGCGGTTGCACGCACCTGGCCGGTCCCCAGGCCTCTGGGCATCCCCCGGACCCTCCCCCGCCCCGCCCCGCCCCTCCCCTCCTCCACCCCACCCCCACACCTCAGCCAGGCGTGGAATGAACACAGCCGTCACCCAGGCTTTCTCTCCTAGCATCGTGCACTCTGCAACTAGTCTGTCACAGGAAGTTTTGAAGCTTACCTCGCTACAGAAAATGAGGTCTTTTGTTATTATTTTTTAAATCCCAAACTGCCTTCCAAGAATTCCCCTAGTCCAGTTTTAAGTCAATGGATTTCTCTCCGTGGCGATTTGCAGCCCCTGACGTGGGGAAGTGCTGCATAAAGGAGTCCACAGGTTAATAAAACAAACAAACAAACAAACAAACAAACAAAAAAAGAAAGGTGACGGGTGATAGGGAGGGTCCTTCCATCCAAAAGGTCCAGGACATTTTAAGACGTCTTTATTTGTGGGTAAACTCTGTCCCTCAGAGTTAGCAGAAAGAGGAATGGAAATCCACATCCGAGTCTCTTTACTGCCCAATGTCAGCTGCTTCCTTTCTCTGGCCTTATCTAGGCTCATCACTCAACTGGACTCTGAAGGGTTGGGTCATTGCCTCCAGATCTGCGAAGCGAGACAAAGATGGTCATTGATGGCCCTGTGGTCCTATGATGCTAAATGGCCAGGAGAGGAGGAGAATCCTCTCGGCTTTTGGATGTGCCCTGGTTTCTTTCCATTGTGCAGAGCTAGAGCGTTAGGGTCCTGGGCTGCTGTATCTTCTTTGAATTTTATTAAACTTTCCGGCTGAGACAGTTTTATAGCTGGGAGTCACTTCAGAACATGCAGTTCTTTGGGTGGCTCAGCAGAGAAGCAAAGAGACTGGTTATGCTGTAGGCTGACAAACCTAACTTCGTATTCTTATTTTTTTTTAAATTTTGATTCTATTTTTAAAAGAACTTTAAAAATGATTGAGGTACTGTGATTTACAGTACTGCTAATGGTGTTTTCCCATGCATGTAATTCTAGCATTCCAACATCACACCCATCACCAGTGTTCCCGCTTCCCTCCCCCAAGCTCCTGAATGTCCCTCTGGTTCAGCATTCTCCCATCCCCTACTTTAAACTCAGATCCTGATCAGGCACTTTCCAAAAATATGACATACAGGCATATGGAAAAAAGTGAGCACTGTCTTTCATAATTAGGAAAATACAAACAACTTTGAGATTTTATACTAGTGAGAATGGCATATATCAAAAAGTTGAAATAGTCAGTGATGCCGGGTTGTGGTGAGAAAGAAACCCTTGTCCACTGTTGGTGAGAATGTCATTTGGTTTAACTTCTATGGAAAGCAATATGGCGATATTTCTAAAAAAAATAGGAATATGACCTAGCGATACCACTTGTTGGCATCTGTCTCCAGTGGTTCTTCTGAATGCTTGGACTAAAACTTTATTAGCGATAGATACAAGCAAGCACGTCACTGCTGTGTAGCGCTTGTACAACATACTGATTATCAGGCTAGACTTTTTTAATTTAGGAAGGCCTGACTGTTCAACATTATTGTTGCTTGATAAGATTTGTTTTTTTGGGGGGGCACATCCCGTGGTGCTCAAGGCTCACTCCTGGCTCTGCACTCAGGGATCACTGCTGGCGGTGCTTGGTGGACCATGTAGGGTGGTGCAGTTTGAACTGATATTGGTCACATTAAGGGAAGTGCCGAACCTTCTGTACCATCTCTCTAGACCCTTCATGAATATATTTAAAGCTATTTGGAACCCTGTGCTGCTGATACAGTTTTTTTCAGACCCTCTTTTTTCTTTTTTCTTATTTTGGTTTGAGGGCCAGAAATAGTAGTGCTCAGGGTTTACTCTGGTTCTATGTCCAGGGATCACTCCTGGCAGTGCTCAGGGGACCACATCTGGTGTCAAGGATCAGAATGGTTAGTAGTCTTACAGTTAATCACATGTAAGAAAATTGCCTTATCCCCGTACTCTCTCTCTCTCTCTCTCTCTCTCTCTCTCTCTCTCTCTCTCTCTCTCTTTCTCTCTCTGACCCAGCAACCCTCTTATTTGTACAAGTTTCAGTTAAATTATTTATTTATTTTTTGCTTTTTGGGTCACACCCAGTGATGCACAGGGGTGACTCCTGGCTTTGCACTTAGGAATTACTTCTGTCTGTGCTCAGGGGGCCATATGGGATGCTGGGAATCGAACCCGCATTGGCTATGTGCAAGGCAAATGCCCTACCCGCTGTACTATCGCTCCAGCCCACAATTGAATTATTTTTAAATGATAAAAATTACTTAAATACTGTATGAGATAAGGAAATGGGCACTTAAAATTTTCGGATGCTTTCAAATGCTATTTTCACTTAGTTCTTATTGATGTGTGTAACTCAATGCATTTCTTTGTGCATACTTAATGATAGAAGAACAGTTTCTTTTGTTTTTGTTTAAATTTCCTAGGTTGTTTTGGTTTTGGTTTTTGGGCCACACCAAGTGATCCTTAGGGGTCGCTCCTGGTTCTGCATTCAGGAATCACTCCTGGCTATGCTAAGGTGACCTTATGGGATGCTGGGCTTGAATCCAGGTTGGCGGCATACAAGTGCTTTATCTGCTTTACTGTTTCTCCTATTCCTAAATTTTCTAGTTTTTATGGGATACAAAGACTTAAAGCCTTGATAATATGTGTGTAACTCGATGCGTTCTTTTGTGCATGTTTAATGCCTTAAGTATCCATAATCAAGACTAAAAGCTGACTTTTACTGAAGCTAATTTTACTGCCAATTTGAGAAATTGTAATTGGTTACCAATTATGGAGTTTGATATGTACTTTTTTTAGGGGTGGGGAGAGAAAAATATAAAAATATCACATAGGAATAAAGTAGATAGATACCAACTATTCTCTCAGTAAAATCTTGCTTAAGTATATAATAGAATTAGTTGTGTACTAATTAGTTATGTACTAAAAAAAGTACTAAAATGCACACATTTTTGAATTTATGGGATATGAGCATAAATTTCAGAATACAGTGAACAGCTTACAAATTAACATTAGCTTCTTTCTATTCTATAAAATAGTTTTTGAATATGTTACTTCATAATTATTGATGGTGATAATGACTTGCAGCTCATTAAGGAATTGATTATAAAGTTTCTAGGCATTATAGCTAAAGGGCTTATAAAACATCCAGCCACATTATATTAGCAGATTTAGCATTGCTGAAATCAAAGTCTATTAAAAAATCTATAAGAAAATAAGACTTTTTGCTTTGGCCTATGAATGTTTGCTAAAAGTTACTAGAGCTAGTCAAAGGAATATTTTCATAAAAGGTAGCTGATAAAGGATTGCTTTTTCCTTAATAGAATTTTTCTTGAAGAATTATGCATAGTTTTTTTGGTGGGGGGACAGACCTGGAAATGTTCAGGTGTTACTCCTGGCTCTGCACTCAGGGATCACAGTGATCAAGGGACCACATGGGCATCCGGGAATTGAGCCTAGTTTGGCTGTGTACAAAGCAAATGTCCTACAATTACTCCAGCTCTGGTTCATAGTTGTTTTTTTTTTTTTTTGATCCTGGAGCCTCTGTGGAATGAATTATTTCCCTCACATCTAAGTGAAGGTTTATGTAAAAAAGGAGCCTCATGATATCGCAGAGTCCTGGGGCAAAAGCAGAGGTCTATGTGGATGCTGTGCACCCCAGGGGCACCTCCCTTTCCTTCTCATTCCTGGTCCTTTCTGGTTTGGAGACTTTGATCATTCACAGCAAGTAGCACTTGGACTTCAGGAAAGCTGTTGAGGTTTGTTGTGGTAATGTGGTGTGTGGGGAGGGTGATGTCGGGGATCCTGGTGTCATTCATGACAGGAAAAGTTTTGGGAGACTGAGCTACATGTCCAAGAAAGAGGTTGAGCCTGGTATGTCAGAGGAAGAGGGTCACCAGCAGTTGTCTGTGGCATTGGCATCTCTATGGGGTTTGGGGATCACAGCCTGGTAACTTCTCATTCCTTGCAATTGCTTGAATTTCAGGGAGACTTTTTGTCTCATCAGTGTTAGTTTCCACAGACCCTGTTCTTGTTCTTATCACCAAAAAATAATAGCAGTCTTTGATCAGATCCTGTTAGAATTGGGACTAAAATGATTATACAGTGATTTGGGTGTTTGCCTTGCATGGGGCCAACTGGGTTTCATCCCTGTTACTCCTATGGTCCCCTGAGGCTTCCAGGAGTTATTCCTGAACTCAGAGCCAGGGGTAAACCCTAAGTACAGCTGGGTGTGGTCCAAATCACCCCAACACCCCCCCCAAAAGGTATCTTCTATTACTGAAGCCAGTAAATTGGGGTGATGATAAATAATTATGGAGAAATATAGCAGAGTCATTCTGTCTCACCCTAGGTATTGATACGTCAGGGCTTGACCTTGAAGACAATAATCTGTCCGATCCTGTGGAAATGAATAGTAATAGTAATGAATAGAATATTGAGGAATAGAATATTGAGGAATACATACACATGTATAGTACTATATATATAATATATATGGGCTGGAGCGATAGCACAGCAGGTAGGGTGTTTGCCTTACACGCAGCTGATCCAAGTTCGATTCCTCCGCCCTTCTCAGAGAGGCCGGCAAGCTACCGAGAGTATCTAGCCCGCACGGCAAAGACTGGCAAGCTACCCGTGACGTATTGGATATGCCAAAAACAGTAACAAGAAGTCTCACAATTTGTTGTGAGATGTTTCTGGTGCCTGCTCGAGCAAATCATGAACAATGGGAGGACAGTGCTTTATGTATGTATATAAATTGGACATATATGTATATCCAGCTAACAACTAACTTTCCTGAAATGTATACTCCTTTTAAATATTTTGTCAACTTGAGATATAATTTACATGCCACATAATTCACACATATGAAGTGTACAATTCAATGGT